GTTATTGTTGAAATTTCGTCTTTTGATGTGGAAATTCGCGTTATTTGTATAACTATTTTGTTATACAAGTATACAATTGTAACAATGAGTCGTCCAAAGCGAGTGAGAAAGCTAATAACCCTTGAAACTAAGAAAGAAATTATAAAGAAACGTGAGAATGGAAGAAGCATTGCGAAACTTAGTGATGAATATGGGATGGCTAAATCGACTATATGTACGATTTTGAAGAATAAAGAGGAGTTAAAAACTGTGCAAGTGGCTAAGGGAATCTTTAGACTTAGCAAAGCAAAGTGTAATGTGATTGAAGAGATGGAAAATTTACTCTTAGTGTGGATAAAGGAGAAAGAAATGGCAGGTGGTAACATTAGTGAAGCTATAATTTGTGAGAAGGCCAGACAATTGTTTGAGGACCTTAAAGCCAAGACTCCCAGTGGAAGTGATAGTGATGTGCCAGTGTTTAGGGGTACCTGCATGCTGAATAACACTAGGGTAAGATAAAGTACCGTATTTTTTACATTTTCCACAGAATTTTTCCAGTGTTAAGTGGTTGTATTTGGGGGCCTGGAACGGATTAATCCTATAACGAACGAATGCTATAACGAACGAGGTTCTGGAACCAATTACGTTCGTTATAGCATACCCCACTGTATATGCTTTTATTTATTATCAATACCAAAATTCCAAGCGCTTCAGGTGCCATAAATATGCAACCCAGCCACACGGCTAATGAACCTAGCCAGCCAAGACGTTAACACCACTGCTTCACACCCCTGACAGACAGACGTTTATTGAGTTATATTGAGTTATATGGCCGTGAATTGCCAAATCAACAAATGGTATTTGCTGACGGGGGGGGATTTTTACTTGTGTACAATGAAATGTATATTCCCTTTATGTGTTTGCCCTTAGGACAATTATTACTTTTACCTGTATTGTATATATATATGTGTGTGTGTGTGGGTGTCTGTACACACACACACACACACACACACACACACACACACACACACACACACACACACACACACAAAACACATACAAATAAATAATAATGGGCATATACTCTCACAAATACAATAATCAGAAACAAATTTATTAAAAATGTGGCAGTCCATCCTCAAGTCCGTGCTCTATTAATAAAGCAATAAAGCACAGATTTGAGGGAAGACTGTCACATTTTTAATAAATTTGTTTCTGATTTTAATTATTTATGAGAATTTTCCCAATATTATTTATTTGTATGGTAAAGGGAATTACTGTCTCTAGAATGAATGGCTCCATGTCCCAGCCGCAAACATTCTTGGGTACATCCAGAGTGTCATCCGTGAATAATAGAGGACCGCGAATTTGGGGGGGCCCCCTGCGCTTGTATAGTTTGCCACTAAACAGGCAAGAATAGAATGATAGTGGTGGTTATAAACATCCCTTGCATGTTGTTGTGTTAGAAGCTTGTGAGATAAATTTTTTCTCCTGGGGAGGGGGATCCAACCGTGCGAGTGAACTGCCTTTCAAGCACGGGAAAATGATAATGGTCACTTCGAACTATGTTGATATATAATGGACCGAGTCCGGTATTATTCCAGATCTGGATATAACAGACTTTCAACTTTAATGGATCAACCTTTCCCCAAATGAGTCCGTTAAATCAGGGGTTTACTGTATTTATATTCGATTTAATCATTATTGATTGAATGTCAGTAGTGTAAAGTCTATGGAGTGCATTGTTAATTTTACATAAAAATGGTTGTGGTTTTATGCTCCTTTACCGTCAGTTCTTAAAGTGTAAACTAATAATAAAAAAAAATTAATATATATATATATATATATATATATATATATATATATATATATATATATATATATATATATATATATATATATATATATATATATATATATATATATATATATATATATATACAGTATTACCCCGCTTAACGCGCTTTCACTTAACGCGTTTTCGCATATACGCGGTGCCTTGCCAAAGCTGAACTTTCACTTAACGCGGATTTTTCCACAGCAACGCGGTGAGTGTCCGGCTCGAGAGCTATTTTTAGATTCGCACCACCCCCCACCCGCCACCCTGCCTGACTGCCTGTTTTAGCTCATAAAATTCATACAAATTACCCAGCCAGAATATAGTTTACATTGCTGGAATTCTTATAATTTGGTGATCATTTTGAATATAAACAACATATTTTTTGCATTAAACATACAATTTTTAGATAAAATGTTTAATCTGAGTAAGTATGTTATCTTTTGTCCAAAATATATGACATTTATATTCAAAATATTCCTGGTCTTACAAGGAATCCAGCAATGTCAATTATATTATCCTAACTTTAGTTTGAGGTATTATTTATTAAAATTTAGTGGTTATCCCACACATCTCCTTGGGACGGTTGGTGGGGGGGAGGGAGGGACCAACCGACCGACCATCTGTTACCCGGTGAAGAATTATTTTTTTTTAACTGAAGATATTTGTTTTAGCTCATAAAATTCATACAAATTACCCGGTCAGAATATAATTTACATTGCTGGAATTCTTATAATTTGGTGATCATTTTGAATATAAACAACATATTTTTTGCATTAAACATACAATTTTTAGATAAAATGTTTAATCTGAGTAAGTATGTTATCTTTTGTCCAAAATATATGACATTTATATTCAAAATATTCCTGGTCTTACAAGGAATCCAGCAATGTCAATTATATTATCCTAACTTTAATCTGAGGTATTATTTAATACTAAATGTTAAAAACTCTTGAATGGAGGATTGGTGGGGGGTGGGGGGAGGGTTGGGACTGACCGCGCGGTTGGAAGAGGGGGGGAAGGCAAGGTGGGGTACTTTGATTGACAGATAGTGTTGAAGAATATATTTTTTTTTTTATTAACTGTAGATATTTGTTTTAGCTCATAAAATTCATACAAATTATCCGGCCAGAATATAATTTACATTGCTGGAATTCTTATAATTTGGTGATCATTTTGAATATAAACAACATATTTTTTGCATTAAACATACAATTTTTAGATAAAATGTTTAATCTGAGTAAGTATGTTATCTTTTGTGAAAAATATATGACATTTATATTCAAAATATTCCTGGTCTTACAAGGAATCCAGCAATGTCAATTATATTTTCCTAACTTTAGTTTGAGGTTATCCCACACATCTCCTTGGGACGGTTGGTGGGGGGTGGAGGGGGGGAGGGAGGGACTGACTGACCATCTGTTAGCTGGCTGTGTACTGTAGTGTGAGAGGGGGAGGGAGTTGAGTCCATTATTTGAATGGACATTAACTTGGCGACTGTATTTCTCTTAAGTATTAATTGTGTGCATGTACCATCATAAAATTAAGATGTTATTTTTACTACAACATAGTTATTTGTCGTCAAAAAGTGGAGTTTGGGGGTCGGGCTGGGTTCTATTGGAATTAATCCCATATGTTCTGTTATTCACTTAACGCGGTTTTCACTTAACGCGGGACCCTCTGGGTTCAATTGACCGCGTTAAGTGGGGTACCACTGTATATATATATATATATATATATATATATATATATATATATATATATATATATATATATATATATATATATATATATATATATATATATATATATATATATATATATATATATATATATACAGTGACCCCTCGTTTAACGAACACCTCGGTTAACGTAATTTCGATTAACGAACTGCCTTCCATAGGATCTTCAATTCGGTTAACGAAAAAAAATTCGCTTAACGAACTTCTTACGAACCGACCTCAACATGTTTTCGCTTGCACTGACCGGGCAACCAGCTTTAGTATCAGTCCGCCAATACATTAATCGGTTCTAGGGCTTAAATTCCTTACTATTTTTGTAAATATCAAGAAGTTTATACTATTCAATAATTTTAAAGTTTAATATTCAATTTTTTAGTCATTTTAACAATTATTGAACAAAATTGAAGGTAAAGTGACTAGTTTAATGCGCGGCATCCAGCCTCTTAACACAGCAAACAGGCGTCAGTCTCTCTCTGTTTTCACTGGAGGTAACATCTTGCTTGAGACTCTCTTCAACTAAATGCTTTTTTTCTGTGTTTCCAAGCAAATTATTGGTCATTTTGAAATATATTTTATATATTGACAATATATAATGCAGTGCAGCATTGATTTAAAGAAAATAATCTTGAATTAAACCAGAGAGCTAAAATTTTATGGGTGAAATGGCACCATGGGGTGACTTCTCTTCCACCCCAATGCCTTCTCTTCTTCCTTCTCCTCCACCCCCATTCTAAATCCCATCATCATCATCATCATCCAGGAGCCTTCTACATACACACCTCAAAGTAAGTGAACTTTTCTACCATTTTTGTTGAATTTAGGAAATTTTCGGTGAGCTGGAACCAATTACCCAAAAACCCATTGAAACAATGGTTTCGGTTAACGAACGTTTCGTTAACGAACGACCTTCTGGAACGTTGAGTTGGTTCGTTAACCGATATATATATATATATATATATATATATATATATATATATATATATATATATATATATATATATATATATATATATATATATATATATATATATATATATATATATATATATATATATATATATATATATATATATATATATGCTGATAACCACAAGGAAAGAAGAAAACACGAAGTTTCCAAGCGCTTTCGTGTAATTCACATCTTCAGGGGTGGACCTGGTCTCACTCTCCTCTGTATATATACACCTTGTTTTGTACTTCTCTTTAGTCTGTACTCACCCCTGAAGATGTGAATTACACGAAAGCGCTTGGGAACTTTGTGTTTTCTTCTTTCCTTGTGGTTATCAGCATATACCTAGATCACGCGCACCTACAGTGATTTACTTGCATATATATATATATATATATATATATATATATATATATATATATATATATATATATATATATATATATATATATATATATATATATACACACTAAAATATTATTAATACCCTCAGACATCCTCCATTTGTGTTGACTCGACGAGGCTGGGGGGAGTTCAAGATTCAGATAGTGTTGAGGTTTACAGACACTCGTAACAAGCAGGTGAAGCTCCTCCACCCACTGGTGCTGAGTCGACAGGATGACCCACTTGCTCTGACAGGATTATGGAGGTTAGGTAAGCCGATTATATGTATATGTAATAAACATCTTTATTTTGTGCAGCAAATTATAGATTGTAGATAATAACATCCACCACACCAGCTTGTATAGTAACCTCCCCTTGCGCTCTTGAACGCTTTTTTCTGCATGACATTGGGTGGCAGCAAAGTATGAAAATAAGTGAAGAGTAGGACATTGAGAAGTTTATAGGAATGTTACAATATTAACACTCTTGGGGTTTTCTTGCGCAAATTTGCGATGATCTAAATTATCTATTTGGGTTTTTCATGAGCAAATTTGTGTACAGTATGAACTCAAAAATAAAAATAAAATAATTTTATATGTGTATGAATGCTACATGAGTTAAGAGTAGGACATTGAGAAATTTATAGGAATGTTACAATATTAATATTCTTGGGATTTTCATATGCAAATTTGCGATGATCTAAATTATCTCTTTTGGGTTTTCATACGGAAATTTGTGAATGAAATCAAAAATTTAAATAAAACAGTTTTATATATGAGTATGACTGCTACATACACAAGTTGCACATTTGGAAACATTGGTGTGATATGGCAACTATGTAGACTTCCCTCCAAGGTTATGCGAGTGACCACACCAGTTGCCCTTTGTGGTTCAGTGGTGCAAGACATAACCTTGTCCTATATTTCACACCAATTTCTCAAGGCTTGTGCATGATTTCTCATTCGTCACAGTGATTTTATTTATTCATAACAGTGTTTTGAGCCATGCCTTGTGTTGCTGGCAATGGTGGAGGGGTGGGAAAACGTATACAGAAATATACCCCGATTTACGCGGTCAATTGAACCAACGGAGTAGCGCGTAAAACGAGAAACGCGTAAATGGAATAACAGAACATATGGGATTAATTGAAATAGAGACTGGACCGACCCCCAAACTCCACTTTTTCAGACACAATACCTACGTTGTAGTAAAAGTCGTATCTTAACTTTATGATGGTATGCACACACACATAATATGGAAGAGAAATATCAATAAGAGAATACAGTAATACCCCGCTTAACACGGTTTCGCTTAGCGCGATTTCACGTATACGCAGTGCCTCGCCAGAGCCAACTTTCACTTAACGCGGGTTTTTTCCACATATGCGCGCAGAGTGTCCGGCTGGAGACGCTATTTTTAGATTCGCCCCACCCGCCACCCTGCCTGCCTGCCTGCCTGCCTGCCTGCCTGCCTGCCTTATTGCCTGTTTTAGCTCATAAAATTCATACAAATTACCCGGTCAGAATATAATTTACATTGCTGGAATTCTTACAATTTGATGATCATTTTGAATATAAACATCATAGATTTTGCATTAGACATACAAATTTTAGATATAATGTTTACTCTGAGTAAATATGTTATCTTTTGTGCAAAATATATGACATTTATATTAAAAATATTCCTGGTCTTTCAAGGAATCCAGCAATGTCAATTATATTATCCTAACTTTAGTTTGAGGTATTATTTATTAAAATTTAGTGGTTTTCCCCCCAAAATTTCTCAGTGAGGGAAGAGCCAGGGAGTGTAGTGTGAGAAGAGGGGGAGGGAGTTGAGTCCATTATTTGAATGGACATTAACTTGGGACTGTATTTCTCTATTTATCTTAAGTATTAATTGTGTGCATGTACCATCATAAAATTAAGATGTTATTTTTACTAGAACATAGGTATTGTGTCCGAAAAAGTAGAGTTTGGGGGTCCGGCCAGTCTCTATTGGAATTAATCCCATATGTTCTATTGTTCACTTAACACGGTACCCTGTGGGTTCAATTGACCGCGTTAAGTGGGGTACTACTGTAATATACTGTACCAGGTAAAAGAAAAAGCAAGGTTTAACACTTATGTCAGGTTAGGTTAGAAAAAAATCAAGGTTTAACACTTACGTAAGGTTAGGTTAGGTTAGAAAAAATCAAGGTTTAAATCCAAAAATGGCGGCGCGGCAGGACCGCCAGCTGCTGTCCGCGTATATGAGTAGATGCTCCGTGTAAATTGGGCATTACGGTTCTGGCAGGTGTTACGACGTCTCTAAATTTACTTTAATATCCAGGTTCTAGGCGTAACCAAACAAAAAAAGTGAAGTAAATCAAAAGGGAATAAAATTAAACAAAGTAAACCTTTAAGAGTTTAATTAAATTAAATATTAACACAAAGAGCCTCGTAGGCTGTCACAACAAATTGATTCACTATCGAAACCTTTAAGACACAAATGATACGAAAACATCGAAACAGGATTACGTTAACACTGCATAGACATATTAATAACTAGCACTAAAATTCACTATCGTGAACAACACTGAATTACTTAAATGTAACTAAGCAAGCACTGATGGACACATAAGGGACATGAATAGGTACTCACATAGATATACCACATTGGTGGCGACAGGAACAACACAGAAATAAAATGAAGTATAAGTAACAGGTGATGGGTGTCACTCAAAAGAACGTGAACTGAACGACAAGAGGACTGGACTGAACTCCGTCTGCTGGTGGAGTACTATATATAGGGTCGGCTCCCGCCAATGCGACACGCTGGTGAAACATGGGCCGTTTAGCGATGCAGATGGTCGTTAGAGAAACAAAGAATGCTTCTTACAATACTAAATGAAGAAATAAGATGGGCTTGAACAAATAATAACAGTTAAAACCTTAACAGCACAGGGTAAGGTGACTAGATTATATAATAGTAAATATAACACATCATTACAGGAATAATATGGAACAACATGGAAGCATGTTATAAAAAATAATAGAAAAAATACGACACGGCCGTAACACAGGGTACCACGTAAATGACAAAACGCGTAAAATGCAAGGAGATTGCACCACGTGCTGATAGTGTGGTGCCTCCAGAGGCCTCTCCCAGTGTCCTTGGCCCTTCTAGTGCAAGTAATAATTTTTCTGGCCCTTCAACAATCAATCCTAGTGCGATAGGAACTGCCCGGTGTGTCGTTGTGGCTAAAAGGAAAAATAACTTTTTTTTTTTGTTCATATGGCATCTCGGCCTTCCCAGCTGGCTTACTACCCCCCTGCGTGACTGCTCATCTCCCTGGCAAGTGCACGCTTCTTGTACTCCCACTAAAACTAGATTTATTCACCTTGTTCAGGAGGAGGGGGCAGGAACATCACCAAGTGCTCCAATATCTAACAACGTGTAAATACAGAAATTCATTTATTTTTGTAAAAAAAAAATAATATTTTGCATTACATTTAGCCAATAATTTATAGCAATTATATCATTTCAATTTCGAAAATAATAAGTGTTTATAAATATTATGTATAAGTTACTGTACAGTATATAAAAACTATACTTGTGCTTATGTATAATTGTAATAATTTTATTGTGATTACTTATATAAAACTATTTGTAGATAATGTATTTACAATCTCTCCTCGACTTACGACGGGGTTCCGTCCCGACGACCAGGTCATAAGTCGAATTGGTTGTAAGTCGAAAAGGCAAAAATAATACATAAAAATTCTAAAATGGGTGTCTCTTTTTCTTCTCAGCACCACGAGAACTCTCATTTTTACGCTTGCCAGCCTTTTTAAAGGGAATTACAAACGAAAAAAATTCATAACACAGCGCGATCACTGACGTTGGGACTCAAAAATACGTAATGTGAAAAATATTTTATACGACCACGGCGGTCATATGTCCGGGTTGTCGTAAGTCGAGTATGTCGTGAGTCAAAGAGTACCTAACCTTAATGTAACGAACCTGACATTTTTATCTTCAATAGTAAGCTTGCTATGACTCATTATGTACAATTGTCTTTTGCACTCGGAGGGATAAAATTTATAATCTGTACTCAGCCTGGGCATGCTCATCAGAAGCACAATTTACACCACTATTACCTAGCGAAATATTAATTTTTGTTTAACTTGTCATCGACAACTATTTTTTTGCTAAAAATGTATGCTTTATAATGGACGCACTTTTCAAGTAATTTGTACCAAAATAAATGATTTGTATTGTCCACATTTATGATACATTTTTTATGACTGAGTAAACTTGCAAATAGACCTTATTACAGTAGGGTCTCATATTTGGACACCTATTTAGACTGTAAAAACCTCGCGAAATTCAAATCGTCCAAATTTAAATACAACTTCCTTTGGAGAAAATTAATTTGAGTCTGGTACTTTTGATGTTTGGCTAAATTTGGTCTTATTTACCCTACTTTTTTGGCGAATTACTACCTGTAATAAAGCAACATCCGAATAAACCAACGAAAATAACACAGATAAAGTTAGATAAAAACTAAAAACAGCACAGAAAAAGGTTTATGTTCTACAGTTTTAGCTAGAGTTGAACCTGATGACTTGGCAACTTCGTGATCCAAGTAAAAACACACACAACAACATTGACTGTCCTTATGTTTTCAACTTTACCACCACTGGTGGATAGAATTTTTGTTTTAAATTCAGAAACATTAATTAAAATATATATGAACAGTAAATAAGTGTTGCTTTCATATTCTTATGTAGAGTAATGACGATATGTTTTCACATGTGCACACTTACATACGCTCAGTCTCACTTTTTTCTTTATCATTAATGATTAGCTACTTTTATTGTTCCATTTATTAACATTAAATAACATTACTTAAAACAACCATATTAATTTTTTTACATTAATTTTACTACAGCTACAACCAGGGTCTTATTTTCTTCCGTTTTATATGTAGAACCAATCAGTCACTGGTTTTGTAAACATTAACAAAAACAATGCCCTCTCGTCTCCTCATGTGTTCTAATGTTCTACGAATTATTAATGAATTGTATTGTTCATTTTGCACACATAAACATTAATTCAGTCAAAACAACGTTCATTTATAAAAGATAATGAATCTTTTGTACATAAGAGAAATGACGCTGTTTACACGATTGTGCACGTCTGAACGTTGGTGGACCACTCAGACCTATCGAAATTCGAGTTTCCGCCATCGAAATTTGAAATTGTGTAGTGTTTTTTTTTTGTTGTTG